GGTTCTTCTGTGGCATCGTGAAGCACCTTTATTTTTAAGAGTGTATGTTATTATATTACAATATGAATTCTTCCAGCTACTGTCCGGCCTTGAACGTTTATTGCAGAATTTACAGCAAGGGAATGTAAAATGAGTATGACTAATGGAGGACTAACACTGAACTTCTGGGGTGAGACAGAGGTTAAAGAACCGATGGGGGTCAAATGATTTTAGGTTCAAATCAATGTATTTATTTATTTTTAAATAGAATGCTGTTTTCAGAATTTTGCAGACAAATCAGGTTGCTTTCTCTCATAACACCATAAATTACTTTATAATAACAAAAATAAGGAGATTTCCTTTCTTTGTAGGATCCCACAATAGGGAAAAACCCATTAGCCACTACATGAAAAATTTAATTTGGTATGCTTAGGCAAGCATAGGGACTTATCGGAAGAGTTTAACATGACTTTTCCTCTGGCTCAATTGTTAGAGAATGTGCTAACAATGGCAAGAGCATGGCTTTGCTCCAAAGCAACACACACACACACACACACACACACACACACACACACACACACACACACACACACACACACACACACACACACACACACACACACACACACACACACACACACACACACACACACACACACACACACACACACACACACACACACACACACACACACACACACACACACACACACACACACACACACACACACACACACACACACACACACACACACACACTAATAAAGCTCTAATGTGTTGTGTGTTGCAGATGCATGATGGTAAAACAGATTTGTTTCTATTTAATGCTGATGTTTTACTGAAAATATTTGTTTAATGATTATGAAGGTTTGTGTGCAGTTTGGTTGGGGATTCAAGTTAAGTCAAGTCTCTTCCAGTTTGTGCAAAAGTGTTGCAAGTGAATCCATTTGTTGATACTATGCTAAATTTGGAGAACAAATGATGTTATAAAATTTTGACTATCAACAGACTATCCTCCACAACAGTTTAGAAGAGCTACCAAATATGCTTCTAAAAATATAAGTGCATCTTTTTTTCTTTAGATTGACAGTCTTGAAAGCACATATCGACACTCATCACACAAAACACGGCAATAGTGACAACAAACAATTAATTTTCACATGAAAAGATAAACCTAAAACATTACAAAACAAAAGTGACCACCAAAAACAACAACAGCAAAAAGCAGCAAGCAGTGAAAATGCAACAGCATCATTTATTCTGCCTGCGGAAGTCACACTATCATACTTAATCTGTAAAAAATACAAGAGATCATACTGTAGTCACAGCTAGTCAGCACAACTGCTAATCACAGTCATTTAACGGCCAATTTCACCACAGAAATCCAGAGAATGACAGTTTGTTTATTGTAATTACTGTTTTACAGTGCTTTAAAAATGCAAACAGCCCAATTACATACCTTACCGTGACAGTAAATTTAATTTACCATATGCTTTTAAGAGATTAAATGATTCTTTGACCCAAGGATATAGTATCATGTCTAATTTACATTTGGAAAGCAATGGATATTCTCTCAGTTAAGCCTTATCAATCTGCAAGTACTCAAGGAGACAACAGGACGGGAACACTGAAGTACTTTTCAGATTAATGATGGAGAGAGCAATCTTTTTTTTCCCACACTCTCTTCAGTCAACAGGCTTCACACCAGCACAGAGTCACACCGGCTCCACATTCCTACAGTACGTCTACCTCTCCTTCATCTCGTTCCCTCTTCTCTCTCCGTTCTGCAATGATCTTTAAGATGTACAAGTGTGACTCACCAGAGTGGGAGGTTCACACAAACTGTATCCCAGCCTAGAAATGCTAGTGAGAGCCATCTGCACCCCTGTAAACTTCAAGCAGTTAACCCTGCATTGACGATGAGAGCAGTAAAGCAGCATTTTGAGGGTCAGGCTCATCCCTTGAGCTCTCGATGCTGTATATCTGAGCTTCATGACCTGTTGCTAAATTTATCACTGTTCAACTTGCCAGACAGTTAATGCTGAACAGTCTTCAGGCTTCCGGCTTTTATCGTAGAGCCGAGCAGGCCAACAGTGCTTCTGCCCATTACAGAGGCACCGTACCTACACTTGAGTTGTTTTATTGTTAAATCTGAAGCACGGAAAGTTCGCCGTCTCCACTGAAGCTGACATATTAAATATGTCTCCGCGCCCATAAGAGAGACAGAGAGAGGTAGTGTGTTTGAGAAAATGTCAATGAATGTTGAATCAAACTCCGAAGCGGTCTTGAAAGGAGGTGAGGAGAGCGAGAGAACACAAAGATAAGGTAGCTCTCTAAAGGTTTGCCTTTGTTATATATTAAGTGCTGCAAAAGAGAAATGTGTGCACATCATCAGACAAAAGACAAGCAACATCAGGGGAGAGCAGTGAGATGAAAGACAGACTTCAAAGGGGCGAAATGGAGCGAAAGTGAGACAGTAACCTGCCTAAAACTTGCTCAAATACACCAATTAAAGCAGCCTATTGCTTGGATTTATCCTAAGAGCCGTGTGCCTGTATGAACCACTTCGTAACCAATGTGTATCATTTAAAACGGCCCTCAATGGCACTCAGTCAAGATGAAAACAATGGGACTGACCAAATAAAAGCCTGATTTATAAAGGCTGGGAAAAACGGCAACACTCAGCAATTTAATCTATCTGTTGGGAAGAAAGCTGCACAATACTAAATGAAGTCAAACAAAGTGAGGAATTGTTGTTCGGCATATTGTTTAGGTAGTGCAGACGGACCGGCAAATCTTTTACGGACTATGAGCATTTATTTATTTTTGATGTAATTCCTGTTGCAGCTGGCACTAACGCAACTCGATAGCAACAATTAACCGGCCCTGAGGGGAGGACAAAACTGAGGCATTTCATCCCCGCAAAGTGAAAATCACACAAGACATAAAGCGTATTTACCCTTGTGATAGTAATACTGTAAGTTTACTCTCTCCAGTTGAAGTTGTAAATTAACCATACATAATTTTCTGTTTTATTTATTTTACTTCAATATATTTTCATCAAGACGGAACATTGGAATATTCTTTGAAACAATGTGCTATGACAATAACCATACACTCACGTCATGTGATATTTATACTAAGAGTCTTGAATTACACAAATCTCAGTATGAACTCTACCGCTTTGTTGAAGTCAGTATTGTATACAGAAGTTAACAGAGTGTGTCTCAAAACAGCTGGCTGAGTATAGCAGTTCAC